CCAGAGAAACACATTTTTTTCTGTTCTTTTCGCCTTATCGTGAATGATGGGTCTCAAGCCAGTTATTAATAAATGAGATAGGATTGTGATTTTTTCGTGGAAGATTCCTTTAATTTTATTCATTTTTGACTTCATACATCTAGTCGTAATCATGGATCTGATTAGCTTCTCAGAGTGATGATTATACGAAGCCCTAATTGGCTCTTTACCTTGAAGAAAGTTCACCTAATTGCAAGGGTTAGTTCTGTTTGAAAACGAGGATCTGAAAAAAACAAACTCTTTAACGAACGTTTCAAGTGTACGTGCACAACGAAAATTTCGCAACATTTTTCTCTTTATAAAATTGGTATTTTAAAGGGCAATGAAGAATGCAGGATTATTGCAGGCGGCTGCAAAAATAGCTGCATGTGCAGCTTAGCTGTCATACTCTCTGCAATTCAGCAACAGCTTTCAGTGAATGGATCTTATCCGCACGAACGCATTAACTTTGCAGTTAAAGGCCATATAATTTGTTGCAGCATTAACGGTTATGTATATGGTACAATGATGAAGTAAAAGAAGAAATGCCTCAAAAACTCAGCCTACGTCAAATTTTGAAATTCTTGACGCCATGGACTGAAGTGGAGCTAAAATTACACTTCGCAAAGTTAGCCCAAAGGGCTGAAAGTCTTCTCCGCACTTTAAGGAATAGTTCGACATCCTCAAGGCTCGGATTCTTATCGATTGGAAAACAGTCTCAATAGAACCAAGGTTTAGAGATGCTCCAGTGGTGAGAAAACTGAAAACAGCCTAGAAACCTCTTTTTAATTCCCTTTTTTTTTAGACTTATTATACTGGCTGTTTGTCTGTTTTTTGTTTCTTTTTTTGTTTTGCCAATACCTCTGATGAGCTGACACTATTTCACTGCCCGCTGTAGGGCACCATTGAGACAGAATAAGTGCATTATTGAAACACCACTCCCAATCGAGAACTTAGAATTCAAACATCTTGTCATTTCAGCGAGATATTTGAAAAATTGAAGGCAATCGGGTGAGGGAAAGGAAAATGAGTAATTTATTCCAGGAGCCATTACTTACCATATTCTCGGAAGCCAGCTGATGAAGACGTCCGTGCACATCGCGAAGAGAGTCTTCAACCGAACCTTCCGATGGCCTCTGAAAGGAAGTCATAAATATAAGAAGACCAAATTTAGAAAATTCAAGTTGTGATTTTTTCAAATAGCGAGTCCCTTTGAAATCCCTGAGCAAACCTTGCTAGTCTCGCTGCTATGCGGTTCGTCGTCTTCAAAGTCACCGTACGTCATACAGTAGTAATCAGGTGGATGGCTCATAATCGTATCCACCATATTAAGGGATGAAAGCCGGGAAATAATCAGCAGACTGCCGCTTTTCAGAGCCGTAGGACACGTTTAGCGATCACTAAACGACGCATAGCAGATCCACGCGTTGTCATAACACAACACGACACGCACACAGCAAAAGCGACGGACGGCGAAAGCCGAACAAAAGGCGACAATAGGGCGGCGATCCCACGGGATGGTAACGACGCTGGGCAAAGTGGGTGCTTTGTCATGCGCAGGGCTAAAAGCCGGCTGAGTGACAGCTTTTTTTGACAGAATCCTCATGCCAAATGGAGTGCATCAAAAACGCGCTGTTCTATTCGAAAGGCAGACAACGCAATGTTCCATCCAGAGCACAAAAAACTCGGATCGCCCCTTTGACAGAGAGGGAGTGACAATCTGAACAAGGATTGGCCCCGAATCAACACGAATAGGCCCCGGTAAAAGTGACCCATACCTTGCAACCCAAACAAAGGTTATGATCTGGTGAAAGGCTAAAACAGCTAATCATTCAATCGTCTCAGCCCGTTTTCCTAAACTGTCCCAAATCGCACGGTAATGTCGGGAAAAGGCCTGTCAGCATCGGAATGAAACGCTGGAAAGGAAAGAGATCGATATAGCAGACTATGAAAACAGCTAGTTCAGTAGCGAAATTAACAATAGGTGAATATAAGTACACAATAGAGTACGGTCATAGAAACCCCAATCAAAATATCACGAGGGACAAAGCTCTCAGTGCGATATGCAGATTTGGCGCTGCCACTTAAACAAGCAAATTTCATCGTGGGAGATCGGCAACAAGTGTTTACGATCCGACAATCTCCCCCGCCAAGGGATCAAAATCCACTTACTATGAGGTCTG